AAATCAATATACAATCTCAGTTTTGGGATTAACAAAGGATCCTTTGGAGATTCAAACCTACTAAACCTGTTCAGGAATATTATCTTCAGACCGTTACTTATGGCGTTTCTTCATCTCCTTATTTAGCTTTACGTACATTGCAAGAACTTGCATGTCAAGAAAAAACTTCCCTTCCTAAGGCTGCGACAGCCTTACAGACTCAATTTTATATTGACGATGGCTTACTAGGAAGCCATGATCTCGACTCTGCTCTATCGCTTCAATTAGAGTTGATTGAACTTATGAAAAGGGGAGGTTTTGAATTAAGCAAGTGGGCAAGTAACCACCCAGCTCTGTTATCCAATATCTCCACATGTGATATTCAAGAACCTTGTTCTTTTGATAAAGAAGAGCCTTCCTTCATCAAAGTTCTTGGTTTAAAATGGAACCCTAACTCAGATATATTTTCTTACACTTATACTTCTCTGGAGCGTCCTTGTACAAAAAGATCCATATTATCCGATATCAGTCGAATTTTTGACCCATTAGGATTTATTTCTCCCTGTTTGTTACTGGCTAAACATTTATTGCAACAGCTTTGGGCAAGCAACATTTCATGGGACGATCCTCCAACTCAAACTATTGTGGAACTTTGGTCTACGTTTATAGCCGAAATGCCTGACCTCGCCAATATAGAAATTCCTCGATTTATAGGCTGCAATTCCATTGCTAGAATTGAATGACATGGATTCTGTGACGCCTCCCAAGTAGGTTACGCAAGTGCCGTATATTTTCGTTTGGAGGACCTTTCTGGTGAAATTCGAACTTTTTTGTTTGTGCTAAATGCAAAGTAGCCCCACTGAAAACATTATCTATTGCCAGACTGGAACTCTTGGCGGCTGTTCTGTTAGCTGATCTATTTACCTTTGTCAAAGACAGCTATGCTGATCTTATCATCTTTGATGCCGTATACACCTGGTCGGATTCTATGGTTACCCTAGCTTGGTTATCTTCATCTCCTCATAGATGGAAGACATTTGTGGCCAACAGAGTAAGTCATGTACAGGAGCTTATTCCAGTATCTGCTTGGCGATATATTCCTTCAGCTTTGAACCCTGCCGATTGTGCAAGTCGCGGACAAACGCCGGCTCAACTCCACACTCCACACGCCACAAATATATGGCGGTCAGGTCCAGAATTCTTACCCCAATCTAAAGATAACTGGCCTGTGCAACCTAATCTCAATTTACAACCCAATTCTGACATATCCATGGAGGAAAATAAAACAATTTTTTCTCCAAACGTCAAAAAAACGTCACTTTGTCAGCACCTGTCAAGATGTTAGAAATTTAATTTCTATGCTGGTAGGCAAATTTAGCGGGTTAACACCTGTCGAGGGGGTAGAAATTTAATTTCTATGCTGCTAGGCAACCGCAGCGGCAGTAGAAGTACTTTTAGTGCCGCTGGAGCGGCAGCAAAAGTACTTTTAGTGCCGCTCGTACTTTTACTGCCGCTTAACCATTCAGTTGCCTCCGAGCTTACCCCATTCGTTTGGAGGAAAAATAGCGTGTTGCATACGGAGTAGAAGCACTTTTTTGTGCTTCAGCAGTATTGCAAGCCTCACTACGTTCGGCTCGCAAACCTGCTTCTACTCCTAATACAACAATATACTATTAACTATATCAGTTTCTTCGGAAAACTTTATTTCCTCATTATTATCTCGTTTTTCATCCCTCCCAAAAATTCAAAGAATTTGTGCGTATATTTTCCGGTTTGTGAATAATGTGAAGCTAAAAACAAAAGTGACAGGTCCTTTAAACCCTGTAGAAATTGATCAGGCCCTCACTAAGATCATCAAATATGTTCAGTTACAATCCTTTGCGGATGGATTAATCAAAATATCTTACTTCCCAAACCAGTTCGCAAATTTGCTCCATTCATCGATCATGAAGGTCTTCTTCGAGTTGGTGGAAGGCTTAGAAAGCCAAAATTGGACTACGACGTCAAGTATCACATTCTTTTGCCCAAATCGCATTCGTTAACTGACTTAATTATTGGGTTCACACATTCATCAAATCTTCATCCAGAATTAAAAACTCTTCACTATTTGCTACTACAAAAATACTGGATCATATCTCCCCGAAGTGCTATTTATAAATGTCTTTCACAATGCCTCCGTTGCTTTAAATGTAAACCTAAGTCGTACAATCCTTATATGGCGGACTTGCCAGCCCTCCGTTGCTCTTAAGTCAAGGCATTCTCTTCAGTTTGTGTAGATTTTGCTGGGCCCTTTCCTCTTCTGCTAAGTAGGCACCGAGGTGCAAAAACATTTAAATGCTACGTTTGTGTATTTGTTTGTACTGCCACAAAGGCTATTCATTTAGAATTGACCTCAGATCTAACTTCTGATTCTTTTGTAGCAGCTTTTAGACGTTTTATTTCCCGACGAGGAAATTGCGTCACTAACCAGTGATCAAGGTACCAATTTTAAGGGTGCTTATCGACAACTTCTTGAATTGGCACAATCCGCCGCTGATACTTTGTCTCTTTCTTGGAACTTCAATCCACCCGGCTCTCCTCATTTTAATGGACTAGCCGACGCTGGAGTAAAATCATTCAAAAATCATTTTTATCGTGTCTTGGGTTCTCAGAATTTATCCTATGAGGAATTTTACACCTTTTTAACCCAGGTGGAAGCTTTATTAAACTCACGACCCTTGTTCAGTATCAGTGCAGATCCAAATGATCTACAACCTCTTACTCCGGGGCATTTTTTAATCTTTGAAACTTTAATAAGCCCAGTCGCTAACCCAGATTTAAGTCACTTGAAATTAAGTAGATTGAGTCGTTGGCAACTCATACAGCGACTTCAGAGCGATTTTTGGAAACGTTGGTCGCAAGAATATATACATTCTTTGCAAGAAAGACACAAGTGGTTGGATCAGTCTCCCCCTATCAAGCAACAACTCCACCCACTGCATTGGGAGATGGGTCGAGTTATAGATATACATCCAGGACAGGATAATATTATTAGAGTCGTTACTCTGAAAACTGCCAAAGGTGTTATGCAAAGACCTGTGGTCAAGATTTGCCCTTTACCGGGAAACTAATTTTTTTTCTTTTTCCTACCTATCTATTTTTAGTTTATTTTTTAAGTTTAGTTTTTTAATTTATTAAGTATCTACCACTAGTAAACCTTTTTTCATCCTGTTTAAAAAACATGCGTTTTGGTGGGGTGAATGTTTAGGAAACTCTCAAAAGGGCCTATTTTAGTTTGTGTAGAGCAATCTACAAAGTTCGATTGTGCCTATATTTTTCATTAGCGACTTTTTTCGTTTATCATATGCGCAGACGTCACTTGCTAGAAGCAGCTGCATTTTATGCTGCCTTGTTCGAGATTTTAAAAATAAATATATTCTCGACTGCAGAGTAGACAACGCACACTGTCGCTACGCGACCCGTACAAAATCGTTCCGTATCGGACGGTTCGGTCAATACAACGAATCTGTCCCTATTTCACTGCCCTAAGAAGCTACAGAGTACTCTGCTACAGTCAACACGCTTCAGTTTGGACCAGTACCCAGAGAACCAACAGAAACTCTTTTAAAAGGTAAGTGATCTGTGCGTACCGGGCTCAAACATTTATTTCATTTTCTCTCAAATCATACAGTACACTAAACAATTTTCATATTTTCCGCAACAATTGGGCCGTCCTCGCCTTTCTTTTTTATTGGGTTTTCGAAATGCCTGAATACAATATGAAATGTATGCAATAATAATTTGAAAGGCCATTCGTTATTCGATTAGAAAAAAAAAATTGAATTGGCCGATAAAACGAGTCTTTTCAAAACGCGCGCCTAACGTGACGTCACAAGACCCTGACCAATAGCATTATAGTCTCCCAATCCTGTCGTCAGAACTAGAAATCACTCTAAAAAATCAACCAATTAAGGGGGCGTTGATGACATTGAAATCTGTCAGTTCGGTGTTAATTTTTTGAAAAAAATGAAAAGTGTATATCTAGTTGCCTATTTTTCAGGGTTAAGGTCGCTATGGATTAATTTCGTTCCTTTCTTATTGGCTGTAGTCATAATACGTCATAAAGGCGCGAAAACATCAATTTCAAATAATGACAAAAATTCAATCTCAAATAAAATGTTTATGTTTCAATGCATAATAGACCTATCTCGCATAATTAGAAAAAGAGAACTTAATTGTTATAAATACAAGTTAGAAAGCAATAAAAGATGACATGCGCGCGCAACTCGTAGGCTGCAGTGTAGCCAGATTGTATTGTTGCAGAGCAAATATAGACAATACAAATCGAACATTATAACATTAAAGAAGTGATATAGTGTCAAGTGTTTTACAACGCTTTAAATCATACCAAAGAAGAGCTTTAAAGTGGATGAACATCGTTTGCACTTTTATTTTGATAAATGTTTCATCCGGCAACATCGCTCAATGAAATTGCAAAGGAATATGTCAAGTATAATCTAACATAACCTTAAACGAAACTGCGGTGAGTTCAAGTAATATGTAAAGTATTATTTTACTCTTTGTCAAATTACACGTTACAAAAAAAGAAGGAACGATTCATTCTGAACTGGCCCCTGAATAAGAATATGACGCAAGCCTGTCACAAACTTTCTTCTCATTGAACGCTCACCTGCAGCCTACAAGCGACGCGCGCAGTCCAGGTAATAGGAGATCGGTCTATTTTAATTAGGTACTATATTAAACGGTATGTTAGTGTTGTAGAAGTAGGTACTAGTCTTGAATTAGAAACATTGATTTCAATTTAGCGGGACGGCCCCATTGATCTATTCTAACTAAAAGATTAGAAAACCAACAGGCCTCAATGACAAGATTTGCAGGGAATACAATGGTTTCACTATAGACTCCTGTGGCACCTGTCAATTTGTTAATATTTTTTGAAATAAGAGGATCAAGTACATAGCTGCGATAAAAGCTATCGATTCCCTAACCAAAATTTAATTTTTTATTCACCTTCCATTGTAGTGGCATCCTCGGTCGAATCTGCTTGTCCCGGACCCGGACTAATTTTCAGTGAAAACGCTACTTATATTGCGGGTCTTAGAATAAATAATAATGTAAAGATACTTATAAGAAAGGCTATAGGAATTTTCTTAATCTCAAAAACAAATATTTAACTTTTGTATGTTTAATATATTCAGTATCTTGATTTCAATTTAAGGCTTTGTCTACAAATTATGTAATTTTTTTTTTTTTTGACAATAAAGCATTATCTAATCATGTTAATTCATTCTTATTTCTGAAAGTAAAAATTGAGCTATACGTGAATTTATTATTTGCTGTTCAATTTAATCACCTTATAAATAGTTAGTTACTTCCAACAAATAGCTCTTTATAGCCTCCTGATCTACAGTTTCGATCAACTGAACATTTTTACTCTTGTTATCTGGATCCCAGATAATCCATCCAAGTTTTTCCTGATTTTTAAGTTCAATATCGACACTACGAAGTTGACTTTCTAAAACGCAACTTTCGGGTTTAACAAAACAGAAAGCCAAAATGGCATCGGCATGATCCCAAGTACTGTTTAACTGATCGCGACCTATAGATTTTTCAGCTCTAGTTGCTAAGGCCATTGTTGGTGTTTGGCTACCTAATACGTTGTATTTCCACTCCTGAAATGAAAAGACACTTTAATACCATTTTTTAACAAACTATTATTGATACCTTACATAAGTAATTGTACTCTGAGAAAATCCTTCGTAAGTGTAGATATAGATCCTTGGTAATAAAACATTTTCAAAAACTATATGAGCAGCTACGGGATCGTAAAGAAAATTGAACTCAGTATTGACTCCTGATGGATGTGTAGCTAAAAAAAATTATATTGACTTTTTTTTTCTTCAAATTTTTGTCTAAAGGCTTATTTACCACGGTAATTTCCTCCCAAAATCCAAATATCCCTAACACTAGAAGAAAAATCACTGAACAGCTTCAATGTTACAGCGATATCTGTCAAAGGAGCTAAGCATATTAGAGAAATTTCTCCAGGATTTGCAGTAATTAACTCATTCAGTCCAATTGCTGCTAAATCTGATTTCACAACATCCAGGTTCGGCTCTTTATCGTATTCAAGATCTCCAAAGCCATCTTTTCCAAAATAGTCATCTGCGGTTGTGTGTCTAATAAAGGCTTCGCCCACGCCTTTATAGACAGGAATCTAATAGTAATTAATTGTCAATTTGTAGAAAAATAATTAATTGAATCAAAATGTACTCACGTCTGTTCTATCCACTAATTCCAATAGTCTTACGGTATTTTTCAATACATTAGTGACGTTAGTATTTCCAGACGAACAAACGAGAGCTTCAATTTTTAATTCGCCTCGTTTTTCCGCATAAAGTAAAATTAGTAGTGCGTAGTAATCATCTACACCAACGTCAACGTTGACAATCGCACGCCTTTGATCCATATTAAGTCCTAGACACTAAAACGTATTGTTAACAATTTAGCTTTAAAGCGAAGTTATGCAGTCGAATAAATAAATTGAATGAAAAGCAGTTAATTTAGAGGAACCTTAAGATTTAAATTGTTCTATTACTTTCGAAGGCTAATGGTACATTACCTAAACGTGCAGATGAGGAGAAACTACTATATTTGCTACTATGGTTTATTACCAACGATTTAATGTAATTTTCAAGTATGAATTCACAAGCAAGTCTGTATATTTACAACGTAAAAGTTATTACAGCGCAAAATAGAAATTTATTTTTTTTTAGCAGCAAAAACCAATAGAGTTGTTTTGTTCTCGATCAGCGAATTTGATGAGCGAGTAAATTAATCTGGGACTTGAATATGCCAGTCAGTATAAATATGAATTAACTGGAAAATTGAAAACATGAAAACCCTGGTTAATTTAACTAATTATTCAAATGTTCTTAGAAAATTTCTTCGGAGAACAGAAGTGTTTTAACAAAGCTCTACCACACTGCTAATTACTCATACGATGAAGTTGTATTGCTCTGACACGATCTGATTTACGCAATACGTGGTGGTTTTGCTTCATATGATAATGGATAAACCCGAATTCTCAATCCTTGGGTACTATTCGCTAATTGCAGACCGGTTTCGAGCTTGTCTCGTCAGTGCAATGAAAGAGGAAAGCACACCAACTCAGAGAAACAGGTTTAAAGGAAGTTCTCGTCTAGCCACTGAACAATACAGTCGATACGCTCCTGAACAAAACAAACCTTTTTGTCCGCATTCCACAGGTGTGTTATTAGTTTTTTCCGGCGCATTCAGTAGCGAATGTGCCTACAGTTTCTCGTGTTTTTCCGAGTGAAGCACACGCCGGGTAAGTTCTGGATAGACAGACTACCCAGAGTTTTTTCCGGGGCGTCGCCCCATCCATTTTTCGGCCAGATTGGCCGAAATCCAATTCTCCCATTTTTTGTGGCACGCACCACAAACCGCTGCCATAAAATTAAAGAGAAAAAAGTCAGGGTAAACAAATACAAACGAGAGCACAGTATTACAAGTGAGGGTACACCGGAAAAGTTAGGGCACCAACATTAATTTACCAGCAACAAGTGAGGGGAGCTGGACTTTTTTGACCCACTGACAAAAGTGAGGGTACACAATTAAAAGTAAGGGGACCATCCTCCTTAGGGCAAACCGACTTATACAAGTAAGGGCACATACATATGTCCCCCTAACTTAGGCTGCTGAACTGATTAGGCAGCCACACAAGTTGGGGTTGGCAAAATGAAAGGCGAAGTTCCGGACACGGACAATGAGAGTGTAAAAAGCTTCACCTCTACCACTTCAAATGCTCCAGCGGTCAGCAGAAGCAAACCAAGGAAAAGCATTCCTAAAATTTCTGACAGATTGAATATCCATGCGGAAAAATGCAATGAATGTGTCAGACACCTAAACTATCCTAGAGTGCACACAGCCGCTGAAGCAGAACCAATGCTGGACATTATATATCCTATTCAGTATTCACAATCCGATGTCAACAGATGCAGGTAAATTTCTCACCTTTCCCTATCAAATAGCATTAAAAGGTGATAAATTTTACCTGTACCTGTGGACATCGGATTGTGAACGGATAATAGACACAGTCACACACATAAAATGCAAACACCCAATGACCAGGTCTGCATACAAAACGGCGCAAGAAAAGCGTAAGAAGATGGAGACAAGGCCAGAGCAGACAGGGGATCCCCTCGATACAGCCAAAAATAATAAGGGAAAAGGAAAAAGCCCTACCCCCCAATTGTAATCAGAGGAAAGCTGGGAAATCATAAAGCTTTCCTCAACATGGCCTCAAAAATTACTACAGAGCAGGTTGAGCTAAAGTACGCCAGGAACTCTGTGATCGTTTACCCCAAAAACATGAACGATCACAGTAGCATGGCTAGACACCTTTAACAAGATGGAGCGCAGTTCCACACATACACAGTACCCACACGGAGAAGACGCATGGATTTGTCATGCGTCACATGAAGGAGAACTGGAGAACTACGCCAACGAGGAAATCAAAGAATATCTGAGAGACCGATACTCGATGAAAGTAAAGGAGGTCTATCGGATGAAAAACACGGGGAGGACATCCCGCTGTACCTAGTGGTGACCAGCTCGGATTGGACGTTATCCAAAATCCGAGCAGCAATTCGCACCGTATTTGCGTCAAGGGTACAGTGGGAAGAAAGAAAAAACCGGAAAGACGTGTCCCAGTGCATCAAATGTCAGGCCTGGGGACACACGATGACTGGGTGCAACAGGGCTAAAAGGTGCTCAAAGTACGCACAAAACCACATGACGGCTGACTGCCCAAATAGGGACAAGCAGTCGGTCTGTGCAATTTGTAATGGCAATGTCCACAAATTGCCCGGTGTATAAGTACAAAAAGCAGATGCTCGAAGCACGCAACGCCCGTCTACGTTCCTGCCCTGCCACCCCAGAACAGGGCCTGGGTCCGAAGAGCGGTCCAGGCACCCAGGCAACCCCTACGACAACCACCACCCGAGACACAGAGATACCCAAACTTCGAATACGCGGCCCCATGCGTAATAGTGCCTGAGATGTGCGCGAAACAGTGACCGAAGTGCGCCATTGCCAGATAGTTCTGACAATCAGACTCCCTCCAATCTTATTGAAACGTTCTCGACGTTCCAATCCAAATTTTCCCGAAGCGCTGGTCAATATGGACGACTTGATGCAGGCATTGGACTGCTACATCGGCATGCTCGAAAGGTGCAATGACGACGCGGAGTTGTTTAACGCCAGCCGCAAGTTCTTTTGCACCGAAATCGTGGCGATATTGATCAGGAGCTCAATCGCATACAAGCGGATGCCACAGTGGCCCAGCGCCATTGAGCACGTGTGCATCCAGCTTGCGAATGGCGTCCTGATCAGTGGCTGCTACAACGCCCCGCATACCCGTCTGTCAGTAGCCATCCTGACTCCTTTCTTCCCCCAAAACACTCGTTCCATGTTGCTTGGAGACTAGAACGCTAGACACCGACTTTGGCAAAATCATAGAGGAAATACAAACGTTATGATCCTGGATGATTTCGTCAACGACAGACCAGAGTTGATACTCCTCAGTACTGAATCGCCCAGCCATTATCCTAGTAACAACATGACACCTACATACATTGACTTTGCCATCAGAAAGGGACTCAGGGAACTCTCCGATCTAGTCACGATCGATGCCCTGAGTTCAGACCATCTACCCGTCTTTTTCACCTGGGGCGAACTTGATTCTCCCCCCTGCAAGAACTTCAATTGGCCCCTGTTTCGGCAGAATCTCAACACTTGAACCCAAGTTCCTGGTCAAATTGACACCGTAGACGCTCTTCAGCAAGAGGTTTCAACTTTGGCCAGGAATATCCAGCAGAACCTTACTCCTCTTGCTAACCGGGTAACTGTCCATCAAGGCCGTGACGAGCTTTCTCGAGAGCTCGTAGATCTTATTTCACAAAAGAATCGCACCCTGAGGAGGTCGCAACGCCGCCGAAGGGACGATGATCGCCAACGAGTTCGGGAACTCGAGGGTGCCATTATGAATGGCATCAGCGAGCTCTGGAATCGTAGATGGTCACTAACCCTCCAATACCTTCGTCTTCAAGACAACTCTCTGTGGCGCCTCCAGTCAAAAATGAGGCGGCAGCCTGTGCGCACCCCTGGAATTACAAGTAATGGCAGGGATTGCGTCACTGCCCCAGACAAGGCGAAAGCTCTGGCTTCATTCATGGAGAGTAATCATTCCGGTCTCCTACTAAACTCCCCTGAACAGGAGGAAATCGAGCGTACAGCGACAGCCTTTGCTATTAGGAAGTACCCCATCCCCCAGCACTTGTTCGCTGAACTTCTTGTCACCCCCGGCGAGATGACTAGCATTATCCGTCGGCTCCCCAGCGAAAAGGCTCCCGGACCAGATGTCATCCCATATCGAGTCCTCAAAAATCTCCCGCGTAAAGTTATTGTCCAGTTAATAACACACGCAATCCTCAAACTGCAGCATTTTACCTTTCAATGGAAAATAGCTGTGGTGGTTATGATCCCCAAACCTGGAAAAAACCTTACACTCCCATCCTCTTACCGCCCAATCTCCCTTCTAAACTCCTTTGCCAAGCTCGTGGAGAAGTTAATCCTGACCAGGGTCAACAGGATCATCGAGAACTTCTCCATTCTCCCAAACGAGCAGTTCGGATTCCGACTCGACACTCCTTGCAGCCAAAATCTGCTACGATGTATTCCAAGGGTTCAACAGGCGCATGAACACGACTCTTTTGCTCCTAGATATTGAGCGCGCCTTCGATAGGGTCTGGCACTCAGGCCTTATCTACAAACTTCTCGCTACTTTCAATTTCCCATTACACATCTTCTCCTTGATACAGTCATTTATCAGCGGCCGCACTTTCTGCGTCAAACAAGATGACGCCCTCTCAAATTCCAAACCAATTCAGGCCGGAGTGCCGCAGGGGTCGGCACTCAGTCCGCTGCTGTACTCTCTGTACACAGCGGATATTCCAAAATTCCAGAATACAAAACTGGCACTGTACGCAGATGACACCGCTGTTTACGCTCAATCCTTTTACACCCAAGCAACAAAATTTCAACTTGCCCATCACCTCTCTATCCTTCAACCTTATTACGATAAGTGGAAGCTTGGTGCTAATGGTCAAAAGACGGAGCTCAAATGCTTCCACAAGAAGTATACCAATAGTACCATGCCCACCCCACTTATCGTGAATAACATCCCTGTCACTCTGTCCCCGAAGGCCAAATACCTAGGAATCCTATTTGATCAGAGAATGAAGTTCCGCCATCACGATTCCCACGCCTTGTCTCGCACCTTCAGTGCGCAGCAAAAGCTCTATCCTCTCATCGGTCCCAATTCATCCCTATCACCTGAAAATAAACTCCTAATTTACAAGGAGGTCCTGAGACCTATGATAATCTATGGGGCCCCTGTCTGGAACATAATCTCCAGAACTCAAAGAAACCGCCTTCAGCGGTTCCAGAACCGCATTCTGAGGGGAGTCCTGTCGGAGTCCAGGTACGCCAGGATAAGGGACATGCATGCGCAAGCATACATTCCCTATATGTCTGACTACCTGGACGAAATCAGTGACAAATTCTACAGGAATCAAATCAACGGCTCTCCCCTCACGCGAAACCTCACCGCAACGAGATATGATCCAGACAACCCCATAGTTCACGGCCCTCCATACAAAAATTTACCGATTTTTTTCGAACCCCCTTAAATGCTGGTAATTTTTGTAATCCCTCCAATCCCCATTCTCTGACACCCCACACAAACTTCTTCACTTGCACCAAACCATTACCTATGACTCTTCAGGGCATCGGATTGGACTTGGTGCAGGGTTGACGACCCCATTTAATCCAAACCCGCGCTCACGCGCACATACCCTAGAGCTCACACATTTTGTGTCGAGACTGCGTCCATTGGCCCACACTGCCTCACGAGGCACGACTTTTTTGTTTTGTTGTTTTTTTTTTTTAAAAAAAAAGGGTAATTAAAAACGGGTTTTTTCAATGTTTTTCCCGTAGAACGGGCGCTACGCGCTTAGCAACCCCAACTCCGAGCATCCCCCAAACTTTCGAGCAGGCCGATGTATCGGCCCAATGTTTGCCATTCCTGGTATTTATGTTGTATGTTTTTAGTTCGAGGGGGGCCTAACCTCCCTATCTGAAATTGTACAGTATATGTAATTATTGAAATAAAGAATTTGAGTTGAGTTGAATTTAAAGGAGATTCACACGAAAAGAAAGATATAGATCTTTAATGGCACGTGGCTCCCTTTCTTAAAAGTCCTACAAAGCACAAAAACCATTAAAGGTTTAAAAAGAAAAACAAAGGACTCCCAAAAGTCCGACTCCTATACGGGTGTCCGTTTTAAGTGATACCACTATTGCTATCTCTGAAACGGTATAAAAGGGTTAAATCAAAACAAGGTCGGTTAAATTGGACTAAAGCGGCAGATTTTAGTGTCCATTGAGGGTAAGTTCACATGGTCACCAAATTTTTGTTCACCTTCAGGAACATACTGCATGGCGAAGTTCACTTGAACATATACTGAATAATTTACGAGACATCAGTCAACGTTTTTTTAACTTAGTTTGTTGACAACATTACTTTCACATTTGAAACATTGAATATTGAATACATAGGGTGTTCCAATAAGAGTTTCCAGATGTTTTTTTCAATTTAAACGAAAAGTTTGATGTTTACACTTTATAGCAATGAGTAACATGATCGTTTACAATTATACGTGAAACACAATATCCAACTAATGGCCACCGCCATTTCTTTCACAGCATAAAATTCTTTTGCCAAAATTTTCGATCACGTCTCTGCACATTTCTGGTGTCCAGTGGTATCTCACGATTAATGCGCCGACTCTTATCTTTCAACTCTTGAATTGTTTGGGGATTGTTCACATACGCTTAACTTTTCCAACAAGACGGCGCAACATGTCACACAGAAAGAGAAACCATTGACCCACGGTTTGAAGGTAAACTTCTTCCAAGAAATATGGGGATAATGTTAGTTGGCCGCCTAGATCTTGCGATCTAACGCCACTAGACTTTTTTTTTTGGGTAACATCAAAAGTATGTGAACAATTCCCGAACAATTCAAGAGTTGAAAGATGAGATTTTGCACATTATTCGTGAGATACCACCGCGGAAATGTGATCAGATGTGATCAATATGATCGAAAATTTTGACAAAAGAATTGTGTGCTGTGAGAGAAATCGCGGTGGCCATTTTTTGAATATTGTGTTTTACGTATAATTGTAAACAATCATGTTACTTATTGGTATTAAGTATCAAATGTTTCCTAGTTTGTTTTTCGTTTGAATTGAAAAAAACATCCGGAAACTCTTATTGGAACAGCCATGACTTAAAATACGAAGTACTTAATAAGTTAAAATGAAATAATCGAAACAATATATTTTACAAAGCAAAAAGATTTAACAAAAACTTCCATAGAAATACTGATGGAGACTAGAAAAATGTTAATATTATGGTTCTGGTGCAATGTGCCCATTAGCTTTTGATAAAGAAAGAAATAAGCTAATAAGCTATAGATAAAAAAGTTGCAGAGCAACAGTGAATTGTGACAAAACTACATCAGTTGAGTATTTATTTGTGAAACCTACTGCTAACTGCATCATAATTTATATAAAATTCGATACTTACAAATTCTCCAGCCAATATACACACTACTACCTACTAACCATGTTTGTGTCATAGTTTCAATGATAAACTCCATAGACTAAACTCTTTGTAGGGAAATACCAAGATTTATTTTATTGTTACCTAGTTGCTAGTTCCTTATCAAATGTGATAAGAAAAATATATTTTTTACATAACTATATAATACATTTTATTTCATGTGTTGATACATAAGACCTATAAAAATAACGAAATCCACTAATAAATAGGAGTAGGAGTAGTCTTGCAGAGTTTATTTTTGATTGGTATTATCGTTTATGAATTTCCTCCCTTGTACTTGAAAAATTATTCCTTCATAGTTTAAAAACGAGATAAATGTTCTGGTCATGGCCAGATTACAAAATACGTGTGGTTTTGCTCTATAAGACAATGGAGAGAACCTGAATTCTCAATCATTGGATACTGCGCTATTGGCATACCGGTTTCGAGCTTACTAGCTCTCGTTAGTGCAAGATAACCAACTTTTCAGGGGATGCCAACGATAAGATACGAATAAACTTATTATAGCGTGTGGTTCGATCTCTTCGAAGTTCATGCATATTCAAAGAGGAATGCAAGTAATGGTCAACAACTTAACTTACCTAATCTATGATTGCTGGATGGTCTGGGTTTGTAACGTAACCAAGCTCGGCTGACTAACAAACATTTCACCAACATTTATGCCATGGTTTATGTCAATGTAACGTCATTTATTTCCCCTCCTCTAAGAATTGATGAGTTACTTCAAGAATATATCGCGGAACCTGTCTAAAACATAACACTTTGATAATGTTTGAGTGGAGGCTTCAATGAATGATAATACAGTTGGTTGGGATATTTTAAGTACTTTATTACAGCTATGCAAAATATAACATAAAGGAACAACGTCCGTGATGACACTTAAAGTTGGCAATTTTTTCAATTACCTTTTTAACCAGTATTACCGGTAAACTGGAACTGACACTGATACAACATCTTTTCCCTTCCAAACAAAATACAAGAGAAAGCATACTGCGCATCACATCATAAATTCTTTGGCCCAAGTTGGCTTTTTTTTGCTGACGCACTGAACGTCTATTTTCATGTTCTACTTACTATACTTTCTATGGACGCACGATGCTCATCGGCATTTTTAGACAGATCAATATTTTCACTTTGTGTGACGATTTTACTTTCATTCGGTGCTTCACTTTTTTTCAAGCAATCAAAGTTCCCGGCACTAGTTATTTTATCACAATTTTCTACTATTTTTGGTATTGGTGCTTGGATCTGTTTATTGGCAAAATTTTCAAAGTGCTCATAAAGTGCTAAAACAAGAGCCATCGATTACGCCTAAATTCACCGCGATTTGTCAAAATAAGATAAGATCTTGGCTCGTCTAATTTTTTCAATATCTTTCCGTAAATATTTAGGTCCGATATCCAAACACCATCACCAGGAACAAGCTCTGACAATTCCTTAACTCTATGTCTCTTATAATATAACTGTTTCTTCGAGTATCAATAATTTTTTCGTACTCACTTGGCAACATAGGTAAGGTAGAACGCAATTTTCGCGACATTAAAAGTTCGCCTGGCGAAAAGCCGTTAGCTGAGGGAGTACACTGATAGGAGAGTAAAGCTTCAAAAAGATCTATTTTGTTCTTTTTTTTTAAAAGAAGGTATCGCAGACTCGAAGTGATATGCTTAAAGTTGTGCTTATTTGCAAAATGTTTAAATTCTTCCAGGAACTAGGATCCATTATCACTTCGAACCACGTCAGGTATCCCATATCGAGCGAAAACTTCTTTAATTTTATTGATTATTACTGAAGACGTCATCTGTTCATCCAGAACACTGATCTCAAAGAATCAAGAATAATATTCAGCGATTATTATATACCAAAGCCCGCGACATTTGTAAAGATCAAACAAACTTTTTGCCAAGCCCTAGTGGCAATATCAGTATCTTTGAAAAACGGTTCTTTGATATTCACCCTTTCTTCAATGCAATTTGGACAATTTAAAACCAAAATTTCAATTTGAGATGAAAGTCCCACCCACCAAACGCTCATTTTTGCTCCTTCTCTACATTTAGTTATGCCCTGATGCCCTATATGGATAAAATCTAACACTTGTTTTTGCAGTGTGGGTGGAATTACAAGTCGTGTAGGTACCTTTAAGAATGCTTTAAGTAAGAAATTTTCATTCACAGAAATGTCGTTTCGATATTGGTAGTATGGACTGAATTCGGGTGTTATTTGGTGTTTCTCTGGCCAGTTCGTAGAGGAGTACTCTATTAATTTTTTACAAACAATATCTTTACGTTGTTCATCTGCACTTAATTTTAAAAATGTGCCTTTATTCGGTAAATTTTTATTAATCATAGAAACATGTGCCTCTACTTCGCTTTGCAGTTCTTCTGGCCCCGTACTTCAATGGGTTCCGTCTGCCACAGTTAACTCTTTGCCCGGCGTATAAATAACCTCATAGTTATATCTCATAAGACGAATTCGAAACCTTTGCAGTCGGGGAGTCAGATCATCCAAATTTTTTGTCATTAATATTTGAACTGGCTTATGATCGGTCTCTGAAAATACTTTTGAAAGCCCCAAAATATATTCCCTGAATTTTTCACAAGCCCATGTTAACCCCAAACATTCTTTTTCAATTTGGGCGTAACGCTCCTCACTCTGAGTGAGAGTTCTGTACAATTTCCTTGCTTCCAGAGTCGTTTACTTGAAAAAGTGCGGCCCCAAAGCCATAAGAACTCGAATCTGAACTTTTTATTTGGGTCAAAAAACGCTAAGCAAGGTGCTTCTTTTAACAAGAAAATTATTTTCTGATAAGCTTCTTTCTGAGCTGATCCCCAAGTGAATATTATTTTACTTTCCATTAACTAGTTTAAACGTGCCAAAATATCAGTTTTATTGAGAATAAAGCGACCTGTGAAATTGACCATACCCAGCCACTGCTGTAGCTCGCGTTTACATGTTGGCTCTGGAAACTTGGATATAGCTTCCAACCGGGTTTCCTCAATTTCTATCCCTTTACCCGTACCCCAAAAAATTTACCTTTGAAACCCCTATTAAACATTTATTTTTGTTCAGAGTAACCCCCCCCCCCCCTTACGAAGTCTTTCCAAGACCTCTCGCAGAATCGCATCATGTTGCTCCATAGTTGCCGCATGGACGAGTATGTCATCAATGTGCTGAACAACACCGTTAATTCCTGCTAAAATTTTATTAAATTTCAAACAAAAGTATTCTGGAGCGCAACTAATTCCGAACGGTAAACGAGTGTATTTAAATTTTCCAAAAGGAGATATAAAGGTAGTCAAGTCTTGACTTTCTTTTTTAAGTTTTATCTGATAAAACCCACTATTAGCGTCCAATTTAGAAAAGAAACGCGATCCTGTGAGTTTAGCCAAGGTTGTTTCGACCTTGTTTATTGGAAAGTGTGATCTCAAAACGCTTTTGTTTAATTTGGTATAATCGCAACACAAACGAACCCCCTCCTCTTCGAGAACTAGTACGATCGGAGAGACCTATGTAGTTGGTTCTTCAACAGGTACCTACGATTATACCCAAAGACTCAAGACGTTTAAGTTCTTTTTGCAATTTCGGTAAAAGTGGTAATGGTACCACTCTAGGAGCTGCCTGAATAAATCTCAATTTTGTCCTTGAATTCCTCTAAGCTCTCAAATAAGTTAGGAAACTCAGAATTTATATCTACTTTACATTTTAAATCTGACACCAATTCTTGGCTCACTTGACCAGTGAATTTCAAAATATTGAAATCAATCATTGCATGTCTACCTAAAATTAGTACCTCAATTTGTTTTCCTCGATATGACATAAATAATTTTAAAGTAAGTACCCTAAACATGTAAAGGTCGACCATCCGGGCCCGATATGACATCATCCGGCATTTTCAAATTTTTTAAGACTCTCTGAAAGAAGTTTTTCTGGCATGCAAGTCACATCGGCTTCAGTGTCTACTAGAACTTTTATTCTATGTTTAAAACATTCTACTTTTAGTTTACAAAACCATTGTGACATTAGGTCTGAATTTTGAAATTAGGTTTAATTCTCTCAATCTCAATACTGTAGTTTAAAAATGGATATAGGTACGTAAACTGATATACTGACACCTCTAGTTGTTATCCATAATATACCCCTCAATATTATATGATTTTGTTCCTTTCTTATTGTATATCCAATTTTCCGTAAGTACTAATATTTAAGGTTCGTTATAATAGGCCAAGCAATGAAGGAAGTTTACCTCAACATAATTAGAAGTTAAATTTTTTTGGGGGGGATCGGTTCATTTTCATGTGCTTAATAACATATTAAGTTTGCGACCTTGTGCTTCCACAGGGTTTTTAGTTAGGGGTGGTTTTTAGGGGTAATTTGCGGTTTATGGAGAACGCTGCTCAAAGGGATGATCCAATAGCAAAAAGTTTCAAATGATTGTTGTAGCTGAAGTTTTTTGCTATAAAAAACTCAGCGACAGCACCCTTCTATCTTCTATAGTTTTTTTTTTCTGCAGCGTCTTGAATACTAGCATGTTTTTATTCAAGGTCACTGAATCAACGTTTCACCTGTTTGCGCGCATTTGATGCAGTAGCGGCCAAATGCATAATCCGATTTCAATTTTTCAAACACCACATTATTGCTAATGAAATGCACTCTCCAATGCTTTTTTGTTCGAATTTTTTGCTTGAAAATTAAGCGAGCACGGACTTGCCGATAAAAGTAACTTTATACTTTAATTGCTCAAGCTACAATTATCATTTTCCGGAAAATTCTTATCCTGCCTTGCTTAGACTAGTTTCTAGTTATCTCTGTAGGTACCTAATGTGCGAGGAAGTTGTAAATTACATCGAAAACTACCCCTTTCTTGCATTAGTTGCATACACTGTAATTTCTAAACGGGGCCAAATGTTTGGTGACAGTTTTCGACAATCGGCAGCCCATTTATTCCTCTCATATTGCCCCAGCAGATTTTTTTCTTCGTTAATTACTCAATGACTTA